AATGACGCAGTTCGCGTGGGTTTTGGAAGCTTATTACCATTATTACGAGCGGCAAGCGAGAGCACGTCGCCGTCGCCGCGGTGTTTGAATGCAGCTCAAATATCGGATTACCAGCAGCGGAATGAAATGGATCCCGAAAGAGCCGCGACCACCGCGCTTCGTCTCTCTCCGCGCGACGAGATCTCTCGCTCAGATCGAAATTTCGCTCCGCTGCACACGTTTTTCTCTTTGTCGCCGCGACAGATAAATGTTAGTTTTTCGGTCCCGAAAGTTGCGACATTCTCTCTATTTCGGACAATGAGAGAGGAAAACGAGAAGAGCCGATCATTGTGCGCGTCCCTCGCTATATCCGTCTGCTGTCCAGACGTCTCATTATTTTGGTCAGATGACAATCGCGATTTTTCCCAGCATACGTCAGTTTGAACGAAAACGTATCAATAGGTCCATTCAGAAGCTGACGGATCATTACACCATCTCTTGATTTTTCATTTCTGGTTTAACGTTGGCTCAAATGACCAAAACTTTATATCAAAATAGGAATCTCTCAAAATTTTACCAATGAATCTATTTAATTATTAATTATTATTTCATAAATATTTATGATTACTTGGCGCCACCCTATTTATTTTAAAGGTATTCATAAAATAATTAATTTTGTAAATAATAACTTTTACTGAATTAGATTTTTTTATTTTATTTTATTTATCACTCTTTTAGCAACTATCTGGGGAATGTGAAAATCAATTTTTTTAAATTGTAATTGTTTTTAAGTCAGCAATCATAGGAGGTTTTAATATAATTTTAAAATTTTTATGCAGTATGCAGAGTGAATGATTTTTAGCACAACAATCGTAAATGCCAGCACGTAGCGCTTCATATTAAAATTTCATTGCTTATAGTTATTGCTAATAATTAAATTTCATATTAACAGCCATTTGGAATGTTATGGAACAAATTAATTGCCACAAAATTGAGAAAATAAAATAAAAATCAATTAGTTTGTAAATTCATGACTCCGTCTTTAATGATATCAGTACCAGTACGCACTTCAATACTAGTCAAAGAAAAATAAATTTAATTTTTCCTTATAAAACTTTAAAAAGGAATCTTAAAAATTAAAGGAAATTGTGAATCTTAGAGCTTGGATGTAAGTTTTTGACGACGCGTTTTCCTTCCACTGGTGATTTCGAGTGCGTTATTTTTGTCGGTGTTCCCTCAACCAGCACATTCTGAAGAACACGAGAATGTTTTCTGCGTTGTCAAAAAATAATATTTATAAATATACCTGCAAGGTTATATAAATGTTGATGGTGTGTGCAGTGTGCAAAACAACAAACTCCTACGCAAGGGACGCCGCGGCGCTCGAGATTTATTTTGTTTTCACTTTTCGGAGCGCAAATATTGCAGCACGCCTCTGTTTGCAGTCCGAATTCAAGAAAATTTGTTTAAAAAAGTTGCTCCAGCAGAGTTACTCTGTCCTAACTGAGCCAGTATTAATGTTTGTTTAGGCCTAGGCTTTCTTTGTACCCAAATGATTTGGCAGAGGGAAATGTTCAAGTAAAAAAAAGCGCTCCCCATTCTTCAGAGAGACGTAAAAACTTTTTATACATCCACAAAAATAACATTAAATAGAGCCATGTATATATTAATTTGTGTCTAAAGAATGGTTTAATAAATATAATGAATTTAAACATCTTTTTTTAATCATATTGTTTGAAAAACAAAACTGCTCTTATTTGACAATTAGAATTTAAACAGGATTAAGAAATGAAAATGTTCAATTTTCTGTCCTAAAAATTACCGTGTTGAATGTTATGGTTTGTGATTTTTGGGCAAATTAAAACATTAATTCAGTAGATTAATGCAATTTGGCAAAAATTGATTAAACGTATAGTTATGAAAATAATCTCCATCAAGAACACAATATTTTAAAACATAAGCCAATTCATTGAACTTATAAAACACTTTCATTTAAGATTTTATCAAATTTGACAGCTTTCCCTTTCATTGTAACTTCTTTGCCTTTCTTTACAATTCCTGATCTTTTATAAAGGAAAAAATTATGATTTTTGCTTTTGAGAAGAAGGTTTTCCACTGAATATATAAAAATGAAAATCGCAGAGGCGTATGTGTTTCCATGGTGGCTCAAATAATATGAAGACGCATCGCCCGAAGGGAAAACAGATGCTTCTCGAAAATCGTCAATATTTCAATAGACTTTGAAAAGGGAATGAGAGGAGCGAGCGAGAGGCCCTTGCGAAAGAAAATTTAATTTCTGCAAAGGAGAGAGAGAGGACCTTTGACCGTCCGCGAGTTGCTCTCAAAGAAATAAAGTGCGTAAGAATTTCAAGAGGCCCTCTTTTATTTTTTTTTCAAGAGATAGAGAGAAAGACGCACGCAGACAATTTGGAGATTCCAGGTGGGTTCGACAATGACACATAATGCGCCAGTAGCGATTTATTTGGCATGAGGAGAGCAGAGAGAAAATATATATTGCGCTCTGCTGAGACAGAAAAAAGCTCCGGTGTGTGTGTCTGTGAGATGTTTGAATCCCTTGAGCTATCTCTAAGTCCTTTGTCCTTCTTCAAAGCTACTCAACAACTCCTTTTATTTCTCCCTTTCCTCTTTTTACTCATCACTGAAACTTTGACAGCACCAACACAAATAAATTCACGTGTGTATACCCGAGTGTGTGGGGGGCTGCTGCTGCTGCTGGAGAGCTCGCCATTACGCATATCAAATGGCCCACCTTGAAAAAAATATAAATCTCGCAAATGCTCCTCTCTCTCAAAAGCCTCTGAATTCCTTCCAACCGATTATTCCTTTATTTCGCTTTCGGAGAATGGCCTGTAAACTCTTTAAGCTTCAAAGTATCTCAGGTGATGAAAAGAATTGAGATGTCAGATTAATTTTGTTCATTGAATTGATTCATTACGCAATGCACAAAACTTATGAAGTGAGAATTGATGATATGATATATTATTAGCATAAATTTACAGTTTCAATCCAGGAAAGCAGAGATAATTTTTCAATGGTGCTAACAGCAATTAAATCTGTGCAAGGTTTAATTTATTTACTAAATTATTCCAAATTATATTATATTTCATTAAAATTATGTTTGAACTATACACAAAAAATATACTTAATTCACGAAAAACAAAATTTTTATAAATAATTTTTAAGTTAAATTTAATAAAAAAATAATTTCAAGTAATTTGTGTCAGTAAAATAAATTGTATTACTAAATATTTTACTATTTAAGTTTAGCAACTTGAACTGAGTTTCAATTTTAATTTAACAAAAACTTGGAAATAAAAATTGTTAGTCAGCCTTATATTTTGCTTCTTTTAACATTTGTGAATTTTTTTTGTGAATCTTTAATTCTGTTGAAAGCATAGAAACATCGAATATTACATAAAAATACTTCCAAATGCACGATTTTATTTATATTAACTCTTTATTTAAGATTATTTAGTTTTAATTTCTTAAAAGTTTCCCCTTAGTGCTGGTAAACATACAAATTTCAAGGAGCTTACTGAATTTTTTAAGTAAAACTTTAACAATTACTTTGTATTATTGCACATGTGACGTGAAACAATTCTTTGAGCCATGAACGGCTGCAGATCCCCGAGTGCGAGCACAAAATTTTCGAATCTAGATTAGAGAAAGCCAGAGCGCAATGTTTATGAACGCACACATGCATGAATCTTTAATTTTCTAAAATTAATTTTAACAAATTTTGAACAATTTAACATACTTATTTTAGTATTACTTTCTATGGAATTCGCTATGATTAGAGAAATAGATGAAGTCCTAAAGGTCTATTAATCAAGATGACAATGGAGAAGGTATGTTAGCGACGAACCGCTAGATCGCGCGCGCAGTAAACTCTGCCTGTGCCATGAAGTGCCTCACCGCGCCGTAGTTTAGCTCTCGGAAACCAGAGGGTCGATGAAAAAACGTGAGCAACTCGCCAGACCCCCACATACTTTTCATAAATCAAATGTAGTTTTTACACTCGCTGTTTCCATGTAATAGAAATATCGTTGAAACCAATGCTATTTTCAAAAAGAAATTTAAAAAAGTGAATATTTGCTTTCAAATTAATTACAATTATTTTCTTTTGAAATTTACATTACGTGAGGAGCGACAATTATTCAAAATTTCACGGACGAGTAGCAACAATTGCGGCTAATTAGAGCTCACGTTCGCAAAAGCGGCAGAGGACACGCGAGGAGTTTTGTAATTTAACGGCCGGCGGCGCCTGCACATAAATTCAGAAGACGCGAATGGAAACAATTAAAGTGGTAATTAGGCTCAAAGTTTGCGCGCCCCGTCAAAAGTGCGGGTACCTTGCAAATTAATGGCCGTGTGTCTATTTATGAATAATTTATCTCGGGCACACGCGAAATGAGAAAATGCAAAGTGGTGATGGTATGGTAGGTGTCCGCAACTTTTCACCCCTTTCGCAACTGCCGTAAAAAGAGAGAGAGACTGGCCGCGATGAGTTCGGATGGTACTCGCGCGTCTTGGCCCCGCTCATTTGACTTGCTAATGCCTGCTTTTCACCTCCTCCCTGGCGCCTCCTGACACTTTCCTCCCTCCTGCATAGATAATGAGGGTGCGCGTCTCATGGAGAAAGAAAATATTAACAAAATGCGATGCAAATTGAGTGGTGCATAATTTGATTGACCCCTCGATCCTTTTTGTCTTATAACTGAACGGCGAGTTCTTTTCTAAATAAAAAAAATCTACTCTTTGATGGTCGAATATTTACTTTCTGGAAGAATCATTTACGTCTTTGAAATGGATAAAAATTAGAATCTTTTTTATGTTTAATAATATATGTGAAATTTTTTCCACATTTTTAAAATTAATAATACATAATTTACTCTTATTGTTAGAAATAAAGAAAGGGTGGAGGAGGTAATTCATGTCAGTTGCACTTCATAATATTTTTCAAATGGGAATGTTTTAAAATTTAATAAAAAATGTAATTAATGTTGTCGTCTGTGTTTTTGACTAATTTTGTACCGTTCAAAAAAAAAAAAAAAAAAACAATTACAGAATTTCAATCACGATGCTACAAAATTATAACACCAGTTTTTCTTAAATTAAATATTTTATATAAATTTTAAATATAATTGATATATTTTCAAAATAATCCTTACTGAATCGGAATATCAATTTTCTATAATTACAAATAATAAAAGATTATATTGCAAAAATTGACGGTTTCTTCTAAAATGGAAATATTGTGAAAGGCTTTTTGGCTCGCAATTATTGAGGTTGACTGCACGCTCGGAATTCTATTTCAGTCTTTTTCTCTCATGACACAAAATCTGAACAGTTCACGTATGATTAATACAAACAAGGCGAGCGCAATAATAAATTATGCATGCTGAATTTGCTGTTAACAAGAGGAAAAGTGGAAATTTATGCCCACATTAAAATAATAGTTTTAATAGCACACTCGGAATAAATCGGGTGCGCTCTGGAAAGAAAATAATAATCAAAATTCAGCACCCGATGCATAAAACATGACCGCGCGGCTGGAAATTATTATCGCGGCGTGTAACACCCCCGAAAACGCGGGCAGATTAAAAGTGGCCAGTTCGCTCTCACACACAAGCACGACACAAATAGATAGACCAGTCAAATTACACACATAAAGCCCTTTTTGAATTATAATCGCCGGAAATATGGCTGCATTATTATTCATGCGGCGGCGTATTTCATCACTTTTACTTGCGGGCCGCCGCCGCGCGAGAGTGTGCCGCAGATAAAACACGGGGTGAATACAAACGCCAAATTCCACGATCGTGTTTCGTATTGATAGCGCTGGCGGAAAATAATTCGCTTTATCGCGCGCGCGGCCAAAATGAATGATTTGTGTGCTGCTGCGCGCGGACAAACTGATTGCCGGGTGGCCAGATGTGAAATATTCAGTAATTCGTGTCATTTTCTCTCTTTCCATTCTCTCCTGTGTGCTCAGCGCCGGTGAGGTCGCGTGACAACGAAAAAAGGTGAAACAGGAATGAAAAAAATACTAGATCAGGGCAGTGCTACAAGTTTCTTTAATTAAATGAAAAGAGAACGTTATATGCAAATTAAATTTCTCAATGATTTATTTGTTTGAAAAAGTTGACACTCGAGGAGATGATCATGATGGAAATGAAGAGATTGGGCTATTCCTTGTAAAATATTTTTTTGACAAAAACCATTTGCAAATATTATACACCTAAAATAAATTTTTTTTAAAATTTATGTAACAAATTAAGTTTTATAACATATTTGTAAATTTACAAAATATTTAATTATTATTTATTACTTATCTTTGTTAAAATACAAATTCTCCCCCTTTATATTCCTCTTTTTATTGATATTTTAATGTTATATTTAAATAAAAGTAAAACCATTAAACTATAAATTGTTTACTACAGCAACAAATGTATTTAAAATGAATAATTTACATTATATCTCACTCTTTCGTGTATGAAGTGATATGGCTGTAATCTATTATGATGCGATAAATAAAAAATTGCAAAATATAATCATTAAAATAGAGGGCTGAAACACGGATATGAAGATAAAGAAACGGGGAATTTAATGCACCATAATATATGAAAATTTGGATTTAGGGTTAAATACGTAATAGATTGTACAAAATATAAAAGTTGTCTGGGTAGCAGAAAATTATTTAAAATAATTATAATCTAAATACTGCAATCCGTTAACACATTGAATGCATTTTAATAATAAAAAACTATGGTTACTTGGATTGCAATATTATTCACAAATTTAATAATACAAAATATTCCGAATGACATTTTTATTTAAAACGTATCTTTCTTTTTTAGCTCGGAACGTTTTTACATTCTTTCACTGCCTCCAAAGGAGTTTCTCCACACGCTTCGATATAAATTACACCGCCGCCCTACCGTTTTGCGTCCGAGGTTTTTCTCTGTAATGCGGGTTGCCTAACAAAGGCGGTGGGCGTTTTTATTGAGTGATGGATGGGTGACAACATGCAACCTCAGGTGACACAAGCCTCGTTTCCAATGTAAATGTCACACTTACCACCTCCTTTCAAATTTTTTTCTCTATAGATCTTTTCACCTCAAATGAATAAGCAAGTAAAAATTCTAATAAAAAAATCAACAATATTTTTATTACATATTTCAATGAGTAGTTATATAAAATATTAAATTATAATTTTTTTACATTAGCCACTGCTCACTTGGTCTCTGAATCATGCGATCGGCCCGCGTATGTAAAAATCTGCACAAGGGGCATCGCAGGGGTTGGCAGTGCAGCAGCAAGAAAGATCGCCGGCGCAAATCATGTTAATTTTGCTTGGCTACACTTTATTTACGTGAGGGGATCGCACCAGCAGCCGGCGTAAAAAACGACTCGCCCGTCTAACGCACACTGTCCGGCAGTAATATGGGCAAATTGGTCACAATCATCCCCCCTGCGCGTGCATTTCCTGATTGGTAAAGGGACCATTCCACAATATACATCTTACCATAAAAGAATGTAGTGCAATTTCGACCTAAAATAGATGATTTAAATTGTGTAATAAATTTTCCTTCCACTTGATCTTGCCATTTTATTTAAATAAATCTTCAAAAATTCCTAAATTTATGATTTTTCAATATTAAATACGTTGAATTTTTCAAGTCAAAATCAGCTCAAAGGAAAATTAAAGTTTAGTTGAAATTTATAAGGTTTAATTCAATATTAATTTTGCTGTTTAGAGCATTTAATTGCCGCCGTTTTAATTGAAAAAGTACAATTTTATTCATTTTGTGTAATTAATTTGGAAATTATTTCGGATTATTTTCCAAATTTAAGAAGTTGTGGAAAAGCATTAAAAACTGCGATTAAAAAAAAAAGAATTTGCATTTAGCTGCAAGTTTTTGTATTAAAAATTATTCCTGAAGTAAAAAAAAATTACAATTAAAATTTAGTTTGCAAAAGACAAGAAAAGCTTGCTATTTATTCATGAAGACCGCAAAATCCGATTAAAATTCAGTGAGAGTTGAGATAAATAGGCGTTTAAAATTGAAAGCGGAAATTACGCGCAGGGCTCACAGCTGATAATCCTGTGGCGCGGCTAATGCCATTTGGTGCGTCTCTGGCGGCGCGAGCGAGAGGATGCAATCCACATGTAATATTATCAACCCCAATCGATTTACATTATCATCGGCCGCCCCTATAGCTTTTAAGCTCTGACCCACCCTTGGGAATCTGAAAACGAAAAGACGAAATGATATAGCGTCCGGACACGCACACATCTATAATTTGCTGTAAATACTTTTGATGCGTGCGTGTCGTGTTCTTCCTTCTGACTTTTCCTCTTTTTTTTTTCGTTTATTCAAATTCGAAGCGACTCTCGGGGTGCAAAAATCGGCTGGGGACGTGTAAAAGCGCCGGAAGTGAGAAATGGCGCGAATAAATCTTGGAGACATAGTCGGGGTGGAGTTAGTTTTTTTTGCGTGAATTATTGTTATTATTTCATATACGGTCCGCTTCACTTGCAATAAATACACTCGGTGTCATTTTTGCTTATTGTGTGTCGGAGCTAGGCAGCGAAAACACCCGTAATTTTTTATGTAAATTTCTCCGGTGGGCACCGTTTATGATAATAATTTCATAGCTGACACATTTATATATTAATAGTGTGCGCTGCTCACTCATGTGCAGTTTCCTGTGCATACAGAGAACAATCGGCCAATAAATTATGCATTAATTAATTGTGTGATTCACGAGACTAAAACGCCGCCGTTGATTCCACCTTCCTTTGGGGGGAAAGTGTTTATTTCTCGTCATATTTAATGAACTTGTCACGTGAACGTGTAACGAATTTTGATTCCAACACCGGATAATCGATTCCTAATTTAGAATGATTTGTTTTGATATGGACTTTAAACTTTGTCTTTGGCTAACACTCTAAAAATAAAAATTAATGTGTAGATTTTTTTTTACAATTATTTATATAAAAATTATAGACAGCAGAAAATTAATAACATTGATTTTATGATAAGTTCAGTATTGTAATAGATACTGAATTAAATATATGACGTTGAATATATATAAATAAAAATTTTGTGTTTACGTCACATTTTATTTTAATTTTATGTTGGCAATTGAACAAATATTAAAATTCTTCATTATTAACAAATGTCAATGAAATTTAGAAATAGATTACAAATATATTATATAAGTTTTATGTTAAAAATCATTTAAGTTTAAAAGTATTTTTAGATTTAAAAAAATGTTTGTTACTAATTTGCTAAGATTAAACACATTGACTTGTTTTAAATAAAATATAAAAAATTATGTTTTTAAGTAAAACTGTGGTTGCAGGATGCTGGCGTGCGTCCCTCTCAAAATTTGGCCTCTGGCCGGTCGATCCGCGGCGAGGGTCATCAAAGGAAACAGGGCTATTTGAGATCTTTGTCAATAAAAGGAAATCTTATTGCGCCAAAGGCGATTTGCCGTGCCGTTTGTCATTCATTGTCAATCGCACCCCCTGCCTGCGTTTCCTCCCTCGCGCCACCCCATCCATTTATTTATGCCCCGAATATTTATTTTGCGTCGTGTTTGCGGCCGATGCGAAATCAGATATGTGGACACAGCAGTTTAATTTATTTCGCATCAGCTTATTCCCATTGTCTGCATGAACAAAAAAATCTTTCCTTAGATTTGAATCACTCAAGGTACTTTAAAACGCACTGCCTAATAAAATGGTTTAAAATAAATTTATTTCAATGAAACAGCTGAAAACAAAATAAATATAATTAATAAAACAACAATCCCAACTTTATTTGAAGGAAGATTAAGTTCAAAATTTTAAGTGGAAACTTAAAAATCTTTGAATGAAAGTGTGAATTTACAAGGGCAACAAAATTTAGTGACAAAATTTTACTGAAGAAAGTTTTAAATTAAATAGAAAATAGCGCGGAACAAGTTTTAAAATGCTCAATAGAGTTCAATTAAAAAATTATTTTGCTTTTCTCCAACGATTTAATCAGACTTAATCATAATTTTTTTCTCCCTTATTTTGTGTGTGAACGTTTTCAAAATTGCTGCCAACCTTTATTTAAATGTAAAATAAAATAACCTGGAAATTATTCACTATCTGATGGCTTTTTCGAAATGAAAAGGATTATTTCACCGTCTTTCTTGGAACACACTTTAAAGCTGGTGGCCGATATGAAAGAGCATTAAAGGGTCAATTTGGTCAGGGATTAAAAAGCCAGTGCTTAGAGGGAAGAAAAGCGGCTCAAAAAGCGTCCGAGCTTGCAGCGCATAATAAATGTAAAAAGGAGAAGAAGGAAGCTGCGGCGCCCCTGGCTGGACGGAAGGCAGGCTTCCCGCAACGCAAAACTTAACCGCACCATTTCATGGGCGATATTGTAATGACCCCTGCATGTACGGCGGGGTGCGGCATTTCTTCGCCCCGGGGATGACAAGGGGATGCTGCCGCCGCCACCGCGAATTCCTCGCGGTTTTCCCGGAATTTTGGCCTCTGCTTTTTATTCTTCCTCTTTTATATTGCGGAATGGTTAAATATTTGAGCGGCAAAGTATGCTTTCCGTGGAATTTCTTCTGCATAAAAGACGTGCCATGGAGGCACGTTTGGATTTTGATGCGCACTGCGACGAAAATCACGCGAAATCAGGCGTCGCTCGAGTGATCCGAGTGCAAACTGCGAGTGCGGCGGCGGAGGGAGTAATTAATTTAATTGAACAAATCAATAAGCGACAGACACCATCTGCCACATTAAGGACTGATAGAGAGGCACATGGCATCATATACACACTCTCCCTTCTCTAACACGAAAACGTTCATAGCATTCTCAAAAAGGGAGAGCAAAATAAATGCAAAAGATATAAAAAAAAAAAATTTCTAACAACAGCTAGAAGCTCAAGATTATTATTTTTTTTTTTTTATTAAATTAATTAAAAGAAGCCGCTTTTTACAAAATAGTAATATCATGGATTTTATAATAAATTTCATTGTGGACTGTAACTGGTCAGGTAGATTTCCAGTAATTGAAATAAAACTTAGAGTATATTTGATTAGGGTTCCATATTTATAAGATGATTTTGTGTTTACATCAAATATTTTATTTTGAATTGAAGATGAAAATTGATTACACAGTGAAGTAAAATTTATATTTTTGTAAAAAAAAAATAATAATTTTAAATATAAAAAATTGTTTAAATAACGTATAAGTTCGTAAAAATTTTAAAAAGATTATGCCCCAATAAAAATGCTATATAATAAACCACATTAGAAATTTAAAAAGTGTATTCTTTAATGAAATACTACATTATTTTTTGTTAATGAAATTTTCATCTAATAAATATAAATTATAGATAAGTTGAAAAACAGGAACTTATAGGTCTCAGCAAATTTAAAAATGTCAATTATTCATATTTAAACGAGGCGTTGCCTTGCATAAAAAGTTTGAGCACTTTCAATACATGATATTACGTGTTTATATAAAATTTGAAAGCAGAAGTCTTATTTGCGGATGCATTTTTGAAATCAGCAGAAATGATTAAACTTTTTCCAATTCAATTTTGACTCATGCGCCGGATTTAATGTACCGCAGCAAACTCGACAACAAACCGTTCGAAAAATTTCCCCAGCATCTTTCTCTCCCACACCCCTTGCAAAGTTTTATGAAGTGTAAAAGGGCCGCGCACGTCTCTCTGATGCAAATTGTGATTAATGACTGAACGCAACCGTCCGTCGGCTATAAAATAAAAAAAACCGTGGCGTGTCATGGAAAAAAATAATGTCAAAAATTCAGAATCAAATTTAACAGTTATATGGCAGGGCGATTCAACTCTGTATAAATAAAAAAAAATCCCGCGTAGAAATATAAGAAAATCGAATGCGATTAGACGCGTCCAATCAAGTTGCCAATCAAAAGCACACGCGGGCAGAAAGGGTTGAGCGGTTTTGTGCAGAGACAGATGTTTTTTTCCTCGCGCTCTGACGAGAAGGAAACTGATGGCACTGTCATGCAGCGTCGTGGTCGTTTTCCCAACGTGAGAGATTTGTGCACCTGCGAGAGTGTTGTTGTGGCCCTTTCCAGTTTTCACCACCCGCACGCAACTCTTCCCATGTTATTTAATTTTATTTCGGTGCGCGGATTTCTCTATGTATTTTATTACACCCTCGCTCGCTGCAGAGAAGTTTTGAAATTCGCTCCGCGGCGTTTCTCACCTCCAGAGATCTATGGCCGCAATAAAATATTCTCTACGCCGGCTCAACTTTGCTTTGCTGCAGCTTTATTGACTTCTCTCGCTTTATGATTCACGCGCGCGAGTTTATACACTTTGTGTGTGCGAAATATTTGCTGTTCGCGCTCGGCAGACACGCCGTGATTTCGGCACATTACGTGCCAAAGTTTTCCCTGTGATATCGAATTGATTATTATATATTTATGCGCGCTGTAGGCGCGACTATCAGGTTTATTGAACTTTGGGCAAACTTGGTGTAAATATCCCGCCAGTAAAAGTGTTCACATCAGGTTTCAATATTGATTTCGACAAACTGATGACTCTTTTTCAATAAAACGCGAAAGAGTAATAAATAGTAAAAAATATATATTCAATGTTTTTCTTTTTTAAATTTAGTTTTTGTTTCTAGATTTTGAATTTTATTATTCAAGAAATGTTTTGAGAGTTAATTTAAGATGCTTTCAATAGCCTCTCCTGAAATTTTAATTAGACCATTTACTAATAAGAGAGTCTCAGTTTTACCATTATGAAATATTAATCTATAACTTTAAGTTTTTAACCAGATAATCAAAATGAAGGGAGGATTGTGAGTTATTGCAAAGGTAATAAGATTCAATTTTCATTCTTCTGTACGGCTAAAGGTCAACGAAGACAACACTTTTGTAAAATAACAAATTCTTTATAAAGAATTTATATTATTTTGAAATATTATTTATATTATAAAGAATTTATATAAATATAAATACATTTTCCTAAGTAGCCTACTACCTTCTGTGCCTTGCAAATTAAATCAGCCTCTTAAAGTCTTTGATTTAGGTATAGCGTAAACTTTAGCTTATAATTTTATGCACAGACAATATAGTTGTTTGTAAACACGACACGTTTTTAAAATTCTACAAAATTTTATATTATCTTTTCACGTTTACTCACACCTATACTTTGTATCTTTTAATAACTAACTGAACTCGCATTCAATTGGTTTGGATTGTTTGAAATTGGAAACTGTAACTGTATGCGAGGGGCAAGAATGGAGCTCTTAAAACGTTTCATTTTGCCTTTCACCGGCGTTTGGTTGTTTGTACTCACCGTGATCTTCAATAGTCCATGGAGTCTCAGTTTCGCCATAGTCGTCCCAAAACAGCTCAAAATCCAGCACAAGTTTGAAATTAACTTCAGGTACATATTCGTGTGCACATCCAAACACCACAAGTTCAAGATCAAAACATGTGACCACTAAACGCAGAGCCCTCAGAAGGCGTTGTTTTGAGTTAGGTGACATAGAGGCGGGAAATTGGAATGGAAGAATTAAAGTGAAGTTGCACGATCTCTATACAACTCTCTTCTCTTCCAAAAAATTTTAACTTTTAACCAAGTTTAGTTGGCATCAAAGATAAAATAGATCTGGCTGTATGGTAACCACCAAAGCCATGAATTTCAACTCAACTCAACAAAATAAATATTCTTTGAATTATGTTTGATGAATTGTCAATGCCAATAATGATAGAAAAGGCCATTTATTATGTAATATTTTTTTCTCTAATTATATTGGTTTCAAATCAAGTGACGATTATAAGATAATAATTTATGTTATCGAGACAGCCAGATTGCAATATTTCTTATCAATATGGTAAAAACCATCAATAATCAATTGAACTTTGTCAGAGTGATAAGCTATACTTAAAAAGCAGACACTTAAATCAGGACAAACATAGTATTAACATGAAGGCCATCATCGCTTGCTGTCTTCTTCTCGCTGTAACGGCTCAGGTACTCTATTTTTGATAAAAAAAAAATCAAATTTTTTTTTATTAAATTACTATATTAACTTTTAAATATAGGCCGCGGTCTGGGCCAAAGTGAAGCCTGTCTATAGGACGCGCCCCACTTTGCGCCGTAAGAACTTAATTATTTTTGTGGTATGAAAAACAGAATGATTCATATTTTCCATTAAAGATGCCGTTCGAAGCAAAATCATTGGTGGCAGCATTTCCACCCCTGGACAGTTTCCATATCAGGTCGGTCTTTACCTTGACGGAAGTGGTTTCTGCGGTGGCTCTTTGATCAAGGACGATGTCATTTTAACCGCAGGCCATTGTGCTGATGGGTAAAACATTTAAATTTACAAAAATCTCGAAATAATAATAGATTGTTGCATCACTAACAAAGTTAAATTATGAAAGGTTAAATTTGTCATCTTAAAATTGTTTTCAACAATTCAATTTATTTGAAAGATAATTTTTAACAAAATTCTCCAGAACTCGTAATTTCAAAGCTCATCTTGGAGCTCAGAACATTTATGACGAAACCGAGCCAACCAGGGTGATCGTCACCTCCACCAATGGCATCCTCCATGAGTTCTACAACCCCAGCACCATCAACAATGACATTGCCGTCGTCAAGCTGACGGCCCCAGTTTCTGGAGCTGGAATCGGCGTCGTCAGACTGCCCGCACGTTCTCAGCTTGGCGAGACTTTCAATGGAGTCTCGGCGCGAGTGTCTGGATGGGGAAGAACCTCTGATTGTAATTTTATAAAAAAAAAATATTCATAAATAAAAAATAATTTATGCAATTTATATACAGCCATTGGCGCAATCAGTTCCGAACTGAAATTTGTCGATGTGACTGTGATCGACAACTCTGAATGTGCCAGCTATTACGGAAATATCATCAACGACTCTAAAATTTGCGTGGACACTCTCGGTGGAACCGCCGGAACGTGCAACGGAGACTCTGGTGGCCCCCTGGTCATCACCGAGGCCGACGGTGAAGTCACTGAAATCGGAATTGTGTCCTTCGGATCCTCCGCTGGCTGCGAGTCTGGTGCTCCCGCTGCATTCACCAGAGTTTCCGAGTACTTGCCATGGCTGGAAACTAACGCCGGAGTTACCATTAGGCCGTAAATCAGAAATAAAGAAATAGCTAATGGAAAATCCACAATAAACAAAAAAGTTTTTAATTTGTGAAAAATATTATGAATATTCAAAATAAAACATAAAACCATTGGGAAACTATGGAGAGATTAATGCGGGCCTTTTCTGTCAGTCTGAACTTAAGAATAAAATATAAACACAGAATATCAATAACTAGAAATAATACTTCCAAAATAAATACACATTTAATTTTATTTTCAATTTAGCTGGAAAAATAATTTAGCATAAATAAAATATTAATTTGAAATATTTTATTTTAAGGTTACGTTTTTACTAATTTTTACTTTATTGTGAACATAAGCCAAATATACTTTAAAATTATATGTAGTCGTCAATATGATAAATAAATTGAAATAACCTACGAACCTTCAGATCAATGAATTGATGTAAATTTCACTGTACTCCGTAAGGTGTTGTATTGTAACGCCTCTTGCAGGTATATATTTACAATAATTTCAAGATGAAGGATTTGAAATATCAAATGAAAAATTAAATTGTTAATGAAAATAATTTATGATATTATATTACTGAAATAATACTGCCTGTTAGTAATTTTTAAGTACAACAAAATCAAATCTCTTTTATTTGCAGGTCTTCTTGTTCAAAAAATTTGGTCATGTTTCTTATTGTCCATAATGGCTTCTTGTTGATAATATTGCATACTGCACTATTATTATGTATATATAAGTTTTTAATACTGTTCATGAGTCTATCAATTCTCGTCAAGAGATTCAGATTTTTCATGACTCTGCTCAAATCTTAACACTCAATGGCCAAGGTGACGTACAAAGAAGCTCATAAAAGGAGTGACTTAAAATTTCTGTGTAAAATTCAATTTGGTGAAGAAATAATGCTGGCATGATAAGTTGGTCGGCGGTTTTATTTTTCCTCACGTAGGCGGAATATTTTTTTTTTCAATTTTCCGGCGTTTGGCGCGTGGTCGGTTTGGGAGTCGTCGAGTGTAATTGGATTAGATGTAAGTTATAGCACCCGGGCGACTGGCAGCGGCGGAGCAGCACTTGAAGCAGAGAGCGCAGAAATCGCGTAGAAAGGCAGCGAGGCGGAATTTTGTGCGGGCCCGGGACAGTTTGTTTCACAAGCTAATTGGCCGCACTTTCGCTGCGGGCCTGCATGTGACAGCGCCAAACCACCCCCGGACCAGACCACCCCTGCAGCAACGGACCCGTTTGTTTTGCCTCGCGCCCCATTGCACAGATAACTCTCCTGCTTTTTCGCTTTTTGTTTTTGGGCACAAACGACCGGGCTAAGGTCACACATGAGGGCGACCGCCTGAGCAAAAGTGCAATTTGACGTCAGTTTGAGCACCTCGTCTACATGCCAAATCGTTTCTTCGTTTCATTTTTGTAAATTAATCATAAAAATGATGTTAAAAGATCTTCACACTGCATTCAAGGAAAGGGAAGTTTCGATATGTTAGCCAAAAATATCATTTCATAAAAAATTTCTTAAAAAATTCAAGTAACTTTTGTTCTACATGAAAATTTAGTTACAATTCTGACAATGTAAGCTATTGAGATGACACACGCCGATTTTGATGAAAGTTGGTATGCAACTTGCACTACCCTTGGGTGTTCTGGAATGGCTATCAAAAGTTGCCCAATTTCACAAGGGAGGGTAGTTTACATTAAAACGCATGTTAAAAACTATATATCAAATGTAGGCAACAAAAGCGTCCTCTGTGTATATAATTTGCCTACATCCGATTTCTCCAATGTAATTCAAATTACATGGAGTTTAAATGGCAAAAATTAAACGAGGAAAATTGGGCAAAAATTAATAGCCGTTCTGGGGTACCAATGGGTATAAAAAGTTGTACACCAATTTTCATTGAAATCGGGGGGTGTCATCTCGATAGCATACCTTGTGAGTGCATTGCCACTGTTTATATTTTTCCATTTCACTTATTTTTGTAAACAGAAAGCGTGATTCATGTAATTGTTGATGTGCACGAGACGGATTAAACTGTTTAGGAGGGAAGGTTGAAAAACTGTATTAAATTGAAGAAGCTTCACTTGTCAAGAGTTCTGACTTGATGCTCGCCTTGTTTGTTTATCGGACTCGTCGCGCACCGCACCATGTAATAAGAAAATACTCACACAATTAGCGTACGGAGCAGCACTTTGTTCTCTTTCGACACGCAACTAAATTTTTGCTTTCGACACTGACTTGAACAAAATCAAATATAATCAGATATTAATATCACAAAAAATAGAAGATATGCAAAATTTAAAAAAATAATAATGATTCATGAAATTTGTGAAGATTCTAAAATTTGAGGAGGACATGAAAATTAATAACAAGCAGTAAAATATGAATCTTAATGAGCAACTAATTTTTTAACATATTGCATGTTTTCATGTTTCGGCCGTTTTTAAATTTAATTTTGCTTCTGCTTTATTAATTGTCGTTAGAGAATGCATGGCACGAAACAATTGTATCTAAAGAGATAAATAATAAATAAATAAAATTGAAAACCAATAGAAACATAGATAAAGAAATTATAAATATTTGAATAAATAATAAATTTGAATGTAAGAAATAAAATAATTTAAGTTGCAAAAGAATTAAAAAAAAAATCAAAACCAAAAGAGAGAATCTTTTAAAACTATTTTAACACTTTGAATCCACGCCAAAATTACGTATTGATTGGGAATTTGTTGATTTGTGCAGAGAGGAACCACCACAGCAATCATAATTATTTATTTATTCAAGCTGCTTCGGTGGCGCGGGGGCTGTTGGTGGCCGCGGCGCGCATATAAAACAATACATGGGAACGTGAGCACGTGTTTCCGTGTTGCGATAAATTACAAGCTGCCTTATTAATGGCCCGTTTAAAATAATAGAAAGGCAATAAATTAGGCAATTACACAAATTAAGGACATTTTTATGCAAGCATGCGACATCCTTTTGCTATGGGCGACGCGCACACGAGAGCGGGCAATAATTATTGTTACGGCGGGTGTTGTAAATCTGAACGGGATATTTGCGCGGGCCGAGGCACTGGCTGGTGCCACGTCAACAACACACAAGATGGTACCAAAGGATTGAGAAAGAGAGAGAGAACCACCCTGCTCGCGCGCGTAAAATATGAGAGAAGTGTATGTGTGCGGCAACGACCACGCGCGGCTGTCACAAATTTCTCTATTTCGCCAGACAACGCGCTGTCAAAGGGTTAAAAGCTGGAACGGAAAAGAGGGCTCTTTGTAAAAAGTATTATTAAAAGTGACAAATAATAATTTATTTTACAAATTTACTTTACGTTTAAAATTAAACTTATTATTTGATATAATTATAATAATAAAAACACCTGTCATAATAAATAAAATAAATAAATTATTAATCATATATTTTATTAAATTCAATTTTTATTTCCAATTCACTTCATACAAATCAGTACAAATAATTTAACATACAAAATTGCAGTACAAATTAATTTATGTAGTGAACATGCATGTAACATCTGCATCATCAAGCTGAAAACTTAATGCGGATGAGCAGCATGTAGTTGATTTCTTTGGATTTTGAAAAAATTAAATGGTAATTACGTCAAAACAGAAATTTAAACAATGTACTTAATACAAATGTTATATTAAAACTTATTGAATGAATTTATATTATTTTCAATCCAATTTATACCCCCTAGCATTGGCTCAGAAGCGAAATTACAGTTTTTAAAAGCCCCTGCGAGCACAGCATTATAGTTTGCTGGGGGGACACGTAATATGAATCACGAGCAAAATCACGACATCATCTCTCGAGCTGGGCGCGCAACTATTAAGCGGCCGTAAAATAAATTTTCACCGGTGCTGCTGTGGTGACTTGCAAACTAGGCATCTAATAAACTGTCAGTAGTATTTTCTTTTTTATATTTCGCAGTGAAAAAAGTAATTGCTTCACGAGAAATCGAGAACTTTGGCAATAACTTGTGCATTTTTAGAGCATTGTTTAAAATTCATACCGATTTGTTGACAGCAAATGAATGTACGGGCGCCGTTTTTAATATGCACAGAAAGCAATAACCGGCTTATTTTTTGTCAGCATGAAAACATGAGCAATGCACACAACTCATGAGAAAAAAATGTAATACTTCTTCACGCAAAAAAACATATACTCGATTTGAATAATCACACTGCGCCAAATCGGTATGTGCTTAATATATTGACATACAATACGGCTTAGTTAAAACTGGACTTTGTTTTTTTCAAGTTCAATAGCAAAAACTTTTGAATTAATGCAGCCATTCGGAAGCAAAAAACTGCTTGGTATAAAATTTACAATATCTAATTTTGAGCTAATATGTAAAATAAGTTTTTCTCTATTGTTTTTTTTATCCAGGAGATAAATATTGAGAAACGGAATTGTAGGTAAAACAAGGGAAATATTTCTTCATATATATATAATTAATTTTATTTATTTTAATTTATTTTTGTTTGACTTGTTGCGAGAGAATAAATGAATTGAATTGAATTTTAAATAATAGAATCAAAGTTTTTATTGCAACAAAAGTGACAATTAAAAAAAATAGCAGCAGCTAGAAAAATGAATAAAAACATAATTATTTGAAGCACATCTAAACATCCTAATGGATTTTATCCCACGTTGTTGGAGGCCGGTGATTATGAGCGCAAATTGCGTCAGCAGAGGAGCACAATAAAAGTGCCTCTTCGTTATCTGTCGCCTTTGGTCTTTTACGTATACTTTCCTCGAGTGGCCACCCAACTGACTTGAAGGCAGAAGATGAGCCGCGCGGCTGCTGCTCAAAACAGATCGGAATTCGCGATTTTCGCAGCAAAATAAAATGCACGGGGCATAAAGTGCTGCCGCCTTATCGCGCGCACCGCCAGCAGCCCACCAATATACGCACTCGCTTGTCCACTTCGCGCGGGCGATTTATTTTCCATCAGACAAGCCACGGACGGCTCGAATTCCTCGCCTCATGCACGAATTATGGCCAAACGGACCTGAGGGTCGCTCGCGCTTTTCGCATGCCACACAATTCTATACCTTCTGGAATCCAGCATGCGGAAATCACTAATTATTCTTCCCAATATTGCCATTAAAAATTTATTTAA